GAAATCAGAAGCACCGTGATCTTGACGCCTGCACAGACCAGTGAGCATCGGCCCACGAAAGGTTGCAAAGCTTCCGTCTCAAAAAAAATCATTTCATATTTAACGCTTGTTGAATGGTAGGACCGCGCTGACCAATAGGCCCGTTCTCCAGATCTGCCTCAACGTGCAAAACAGTGTTAACCCAACCTGAAACGTACAACCCGCAAATAACTCACCTATCCTACCCTACCCTAACAACCTAACATACCCTACCCTAACCTAACCCACCCCACCCTTCCCTACCCTACCCTACCCTAACCTAACAGAACCTACGCTACCGTACCCCTAACCTACCATACCTTAACTGTCGATGCACAGAAAATGCCGATTTCTGCGAGCCGCCACTTTTCTTAGTAGTTCGTAATTCGTATGTCTGGGCCCAGAGCGTACGGAAAGCAACGCAGTAGTCGAGAGGTCGGGTCGGGCCAATCACGCTACGATGATGTACTCTTCAAACCAGTGAGTGAAAGACCCTGAATTAACACTTAAAAAAGGTTAATGTGTACCCCCTATCGCTGTGGGGGGCGCCGCCCCGCGCCTCGTTCGTTACCCGCCCCAGAGTGGAGGGTTGGTAGCCCTCCTCACGCTCCTATGGACAAGCAACATGCCCAATAAGGTCAATACAGTTGAGAGGCGGGACCAAGGAGCTAAAGTTCAACCCCCCGCAAGCACAACTCGCTGAGTAAAATTCATTCATTCATAACGGTCAAGACCTTCAATAGGATCAATACATTGTATTGAATGTATTAATCACATAGAATGAATATGATGAATACATTCCATGTGGTCAATATGCAACACGGTCAATTCGTGGAATACAGTCAATGCTTTCAATAGTCAATACATTAATACGATCAATACATTAAATACAATCAATACATTCAATACCCCCCTCCCTCCCAGCTAACATGAAGGGGTGGGTGGGTCACCTCAGACAATACGATAGTACTTCAGGAAAGGTTTTATCGGAGGAGTACCAGTAGTGTACTCTTGAGGCTCCTTCCTTATTGTGCAACCCGTTCTCGCAAATTTAATAAGTCAATATTGACTTATTAACTACGTGCATAGGTGATATACTAAACATAATAGATACCCCTAAAAAGATTCATATTAAACACCGACCTTACCTAACCTTGTTAGTATCTTAAGATAAGCATCTTATTGCTTCGTAATTACAATTATTACTTAACCTATACCTATTATAGGTTAGGTAATAATTGTAATTACGAAGCAATAAGATGCTTATCTTAAGATACTAACAAGGTTAGGTAAGGTCGGTGTTTTCTATGAATCTTTTTAAGGGTATCTATTATGTTAAGTATGTCACCTATGCACATATTTAATAAGTCAATATTGACTTATTAAATTTGCGAGAACGGGTTGTATTGTGACCACACGTGGCCCAGCTGGTAGCACCAGTCAACTATATGTCAGTACTCTCTCACCACACACACGCGCGCGCGCGCACACACACAAAACCGGTGGACGAAAATGCGGAGTCCAAGAGCTAACGCTCAATCCTGCAGGCACAAATAGGTTAGTATAAATAATTGAGTACATACATACACACACACACACACACACACTAAGGGGCACGCGCACTATCTTGAGGTTATCTTGAGATGATATCGGGGCTTTTGTGTCCCCGCGGCCCGGTCCTCGACCAGGCTTCCACCCCCAGGAAGCAGCCCGTGACAGCTGACTAACACCCAGGTACCTATTTTACTGCTAGGTAACAGGGGCATAGGGTGAAAGAAACTTTGCCCATTGTTTCTCGCCGGCGCTCGGGATCGAACCCGGGACCACAGGATCACAAGTCCAGCGTGCTGTCCGGCTCGGCCGACCGCACAAGGGGACACAGGTGGAAACTGAGTGCCCAAATGAGCCACAGAGATATTAGAAAGAATTTTGTTAATGTCAGAGTGGTTGACAAATAGAATGCATTAGGCAGTGATGTGGTGGAGGCTGACTCCATACACAGGTTCAAGTGTAGATATGATAGAGCCCAGTAGGCTCAGGAACCTGTACGCCAGGTGAATGACAGATGAGAGGCGGGACCAAAGCTCAACCCTAGCAAGCACAAAAAGGTGAGTACACACACAGGGTCGGGGGTCTGGTAGCTGAGCGGACAGCGCGCAGGACTTGTAATTCTGTGGCCCGGGTTTGATTCCCGGACCAGGCAGAAACAAATGGGCAAAGGTTATTTCACCCTGGTGCGCCTGTTCACCCGGCAGTAAATAGGTACCTGGGAGTTATACAGCTACTACGAGCTGCTTTCTGGGTTTGTGGGCGTGTTTGAGAAACATATATACTAGACATAATAGAGGAAACATACATTGGTTAGAAAGGCGGGGTCCAAGAGCTAGTAGCTTGATTATGCAGATACAAATAGTAAATAGTAAACACACACACACACACACACACCTACCCACACTCATCGCCACCCACACAGGCTCACACACCCGCGCACACAAACCCCACACAGGCTCTCACGTGCAATTCTTCCCACACCAACGCGCACGATAATTCTCCAAGTAGCATTATTTCGAGATCACCTGCGATAAATATTAGATAAGTAGTGGAGGAGTAGGGCTGAGGGCACGGGGACTTGGTGAGTGGCAGGAGAGTAGCTCTGTGAGCCCTTGTAAAGACGCCTCCCGCACCCTCACAATGGCCTGACACCTGACAAATGTCCTATTTTCTTGACCCAACTACTGCATTCACTAATGTCCACAATTATTGATTTATATATTTTAGTAGAAGGGGTCAGATCGAACTCCATGTGCTGAGGACTACAGCCGCCCCTGGGGTCTAGTCCCAGGGCTAACCCTGGGGATCAGCATTAGGGGCAACAGCCCCGACGATCGCCCTTGAGGGTCAGCCCTGAGGGTCAGCCGTGAGGGTCAGCCGTGAGGGTCAACCCTAAGGGTCAGCCCTGAGGGTCAGCCCTGAGGGTCAGCCCTGAGGGTCAGCCCTGAGGGTCAGCCCTGAGGGTCAGCCCTGAGGGTCAGCCCTAAGGGTCACCCCTTAAGAACCCTACATAATACAATCAGATTTCTTTCAGATTCTTTCTTTATTATGCACCCCATACCCATCCCGTGGGCAGTGGTGGAAAGGGTTACAGAGGCACATAATGGGCTCAGGGACTGAACCCCAGAGTTCATTTAGCTAAGCAAGTGTCAATCCTTAGAAGCTCGTAACATAAATATTCCCACAAACATTATTTTACATTATTATTATTATTATTATTATATTGGTTATTGTTATGTCTACCCGTATCCTCCCTTCCTCGCTGCTTACCTGCAAGTTCCATCACGCTAGCTGGCAGGCTGTCTGCATATTACAAATTTAATCAAACTCCCATGTTTCAACAATGGCATTAAAAAAAACATCCTTTTTGCGACTGACAATACCGACAATCTTGTAAGGGCGGGGTGGCCGTGTGGGGCTGAGACTGGGGAGCAGCTTGGCCAGGGGCGCCGACCCGGTACATCTCTGAGAAAGGAACAAAGCCGCAGGTGGCGGAAGGTGCAGTAAACCGTGTTCTGGTGAAGGGACGAGATAATACCACAGGTGGACATCCCAGTAGGAGCCATGGATTAATATGTCGTGCCCGCTGACCGAGACCAACACATCACAAGGCTGGTTCTCACCTGGCTGTCGAATGGGAACATGGTCAATGGATGTATATTAATTAACTTGAATTTACCTGTAAGCTACCGTCTATGTAGTGGTTTCGACGGGGACAGGTAGCCGGAGGCATGTCAAAAGTTTACTCCCCATAATTCTTGACTTTTGATCCAACTGGATTTTGAATTGAAGTAGTCCTAGTATTAACGGCTTCGGCGGGTAAAAGGTTCCATAGATTTATAACAATGATAGAAAAAGTATCTTCTGATGCTTTTTCCTACTTTGTGAGTTATTGAGCTTGAAGCTTGTGTGTTACATTTGACCTTTTAACAAAATTGTCTCGATCAATATCCTCCAAAACGTTTCGATGAGATCAGCCTTGTCATGTCTGGTTTGCAGTGTTAGCCCTGTACTCACCTTGTTGTACTCAACTAGTTGTGCTTGCGGGGGTTGAGGTTTGGCTCTTTGGTCCCGCCTCTCAACTATCAACTGACAGCCCTCAACCGTTCCTGATATGAGTATCAGCTTAGTTCAGGGATGACTATCGCAGCTTTGCGTTGCAGTGTCTCCAAGGCAGATGTGTCTAGTCACCGAGGTCGCTATGCTTGGCTACAGTAATAGGAATGTGTTGCACCAGAGATTTGAACAGTTGCATAACCACTTTTTCCTTCAGTTCAGAGCTTCGTTTGACTTCTAGGCATAGCTGATGGTTCAGGTTCAAGTTCAAGTATGTTTACTGAGACAAGAAAAAAATACATCTCAAAGGGATAGAGTAGCTTAGGCTATTTCTACCCCTCTAGTTGATAGTCTTGTATGCTAATGGTGGGCACGGCTAATGATCGGCACAGCAACGGCCATGTATATTATAGGGTCGGAGTTCGAGTCTCTATGGTCGATTTGATTTCCTACACCCAGTCCTCGAATCCCAGCGAATTGTTCTCAGTTAATCTGACTTGATGCTTTCTTCTGATTATTGCCCTGTTTCCCAGTCAAGGCTGCATTCTCTAGGACAGGTCTCATGTAGGTGGTGTAGTATTCAGAATCTCTCCTTATCAAGACATTTCAAGACAGTTTTGGTGTTCGCCAGTTTCGAGCACCCACATGACACTAACTGTGACCCGGGAGTCAGGTGTGCGCGCGTGCACGAGCCTTGATGCTTGCGCGCGCGTGCACGAGCCTTGACGCGTGCGCGTGTACGGACGACCCCCATACACACACAACTGTAGGGTCGTTATGACCACGGTCTCTGGCACGACCAATATCCTCAACAAGGAATGACAGCATGTCACGGGTCGGCATGACAGCATGTCACGGGTCGGCATGACAGCATGTCACGGGTCGGCATGACAGCATGACACGGGGTCGGCATGACAGCATGTCACGGGGTCGGCATGACAGCATGACACGGGGTCGGCATGACAGCATGACACGGGGTCGGCATGACAGCATGTCACGGGGTCGGCATGACAGCATGACACGGGGTCGGCATGACAGCATGACACGGAGTCGGCATGACACGGGGTCGGCATGACAGCATGACACGGGGTCGGCATGACAGCATGACACGGGGTCGGCATGACAGCATGACACGGGGTCGGCATGACAGCATGACACGGGGTCGGCATGACAGCATGACACGGGGTCGGCATGACAGCATGTCACGGGGTCGGCATGACAGCATGTCACGGGGTCGGCATGACAGCATGTCACGGGTCGGCATGACAGCATGACACGGGGTCGGCATGACAGCATGACACGGGGTCGGCATGACAGCATGACACGGGGTCGGCATGACAGCATGACACGGGGTCGGCATGACAGCATGACACGGGGTCGGCATGACAGCATGACACGGGGTCGGCATGACAGCATGACACGGGGTCGGCATGACAGCATGACACGGGGTCGGCATGACAGCATGACACGGGGTCAGCATGACAGCATGACACGGGGTCAGCATGACAGCATGACACAGGGTCGGCATGACAGCATGACACGGGGTCAGCATGACAGCATGACACGGGGTCAGCATGACAGCATGACACAGGGTCGGCATGACAGCATGACACGGGGTCGGCATGACAGCATGACACGGGGTCGGCATGACAGCATGGCACGGGGTCGGCATGACAGCATGACACGGGGTCGGCATGACAGCATGACACGGGGTCAGCATGACACGGGGTCAGCATGACACGGGGTCGGCATGACAGCATGACACGGGGTCAGCATGACACGGGGTCGGCATGACAGCATGACCCGGGTCGATGCTATTATAGTTCTTGATGGGAAGGAAGTGGCAACCCAATAACTGGATAAACCTTATTGCATTAAATATCGCAAAAAAATATTTGTATTAATATTTATTTATAACTTTAATAAATGTCAATATTGTTTTGCAATCTCGACAACATTAACTTTGCAAGTGTACATACATGCATTTTTAAGTACGTCAAAAAGCACAGCTGTAAGTGACCAACGTACAATTTAACATGGATCAGGCGATACCTGTAATCCAGCTTTACCTGTCCACACCTGGGGCGTTAATGAGCAGTAATGACACACACACTGAAGGCAACACCGAATTCTAAAGTTAAAAGCCATTAAACTATCTCTTGCAGAGTCTCAAGTTGTATGTTCTATGGTCTAAACCCTAAGTCATCCTCCGCCGCCAGTTTGCAAGATCTGATGTATATGGCAGTGTTCCTAGCTGCCGTTGCAAGCAACGGTAACAGTGACATGTATGGCAGTGTTGCCGTTGCAAGCGACGGTAACAGTGACATGTATGGCAGTGTTGCCGTTGCAAGCGACGGTAACAGTGACATGTATGGCAGTGTTGCCGTTGCAAGCGACGGTAACAGTGACATGTATGGCAGTGTTGCCGTTGCAAGCGCCGGCAACAGTGACATATATGGCAGTGTTCCTAGCTGCCGTTGCAAGCAACGGTAACAGTGACATGTATGGCAGTGTTCCTAGCTGCCGTTGCAAGCAACGGTAACAGTGACATGTATGGCAGTGTTGCCGTTGCCAGCAACGGTAACAGTGACATGTATGGCAGTGTTGCCGTTGCAAGCGACGGTAACAGTGACATGTATGGCAGTGTTGCCGTTGCAAGCGACGGTAACAGTGACATGTATGGCAGTGTTGCCGTTGCAAGCGACGGTAACAGTGACATGTATGGCAGTGTTGTCGTTGCAAGCGCCGGCAACAGTGACATATATGGCAGTGTTCCTAGCTGCCGTTGCAAGCAACGGTAACAGTGACATGTATGGCAGTGTTCCTAGCTGCCGTTGCAAGCAACGGTAACAGTGACATGTATGGCAGTGTTGCCGTTGCAAGCGACGGTAACAGTGACATGTATGGCAGTGTTGCCGTTGCAAGCGACGGTAACAGTGACATGTATGGCAGTGTTGCCGTTGCAAGCGACGGTAACAGTGACATGTATGGCAGTGTTGCCGTTGCAAGCGCCGGCAACAGTGACATATATGGCAGTGTTCCTAGCTGCCGTTGCAAGCGCCGGCAACAGTGACATGTATGGCAGTGTTCCTAGCTGCCGTTGCAAGCGCCGGCAACAGTGACATGTATGGCAGTGTTCCTAGCTGCCGTTGCAAGCGTCGGCAACAGTGACATGTATGGCAGTGTTCCTAGCTGCCGTTGCAAGCGTCGGCAACAGTGACATGTATGGCAGTGTTCCTAGCTGCCGTTGCAAGCGCCGGCAACAGTGACATGTATGACAGTGTTGCCGTTGCAAGCGCCGGCAACAGTGACATGTATGACAGTGTTGCCGTTGCAAGCGCCGGCAACAGTGACATGTATGACAGTGTTGCCGTTGCAAGCGCCGGCAACAGTGACATGTATGACAGTGTTGCCGTTGCAAGCGCCGGCAACAGTGACATGTATGGCAGTGTTGCCGTTGCAAGCGCCGGCAACAGTGACATGTATGACAGTGTTGCCGTTGCAAGCGCCGGCAACAGTGACATGTATGACAGTGTTGCCGTTGCAAGCGCCGGCAACAGTGACATGTATGACAGTGTTGCCGTTGCAAGCGCCGGCAACTGTGACATGTATGGCAGTGTTGCCGTTGCAAGCGCCGGCAACAGTGACATGTATGACAGTGTTGCCGTTGCAAGCGCCGGCAACAGTGACATGTATGGCAGTGTTGCCGTTGCAAGCGCCGGCAACAGTGACATGTATGACAGTGTTGCCGTTGCAAGCGCCGGCAACAGTGACATGTATGACAGTGTTGCCGTTGCAAGCGCCGGCAACAGTGACATGTATGACAGTGTTGCCGTTGCAAGCGCCGGCAACAGTGACATGTATGACAGTGTTGCCGTTGCAAGCGCCGGCAACAGTGACAGTACTCAACAGTACTCGCAACATCCCGAACACTGTGAACCTGCCGTTAAATATTCTACCTCAACATCTGCCTAAACCCACAATCTACCTCAAATTGCCAGAGAACATGAATAAACTAACATATATCGAACGCATTTATTTTATTATAGACAACCTTTAAAGTTAAAGTTCACCTCGCATCGAGCGATGTCTTCTGGCAAACGTGCATTGCTTTATGAAATGCAAAGGAAATATCTCAATTTAAATTGAGAGAACGTAGAGGCCAAGGACGTACATGGAAGCTGGAACCGGCAAATGAGTGCAAAGAAATATAAGGAAATACTGGTATGGATGGTCAAGAAGGTGGATGTACTGGAGGAAGTTGTGGAAGCCACCTCCAGCCGCACAACTATGAAGGCCAGATGCTACGAGGAATTTGTACGTCGAGAACAGGTCATTTATAACCCAAGAGGCACCACAAGGGTCGTTGGCAGGACATAATGGGCTGGACCTCACTGTAGTCACTGTACCTGTTGGGGGACACGCCTGATACGGGACAGTGATGACCGCCGGGTACAGTGAATGCCACACATGATCAACAACTGGATAAGAAATAAACTAAACATTGTAATCAACTAAACAGTGTAAATAAAAGCCCAAAACAGCCCGTTGTTCTACCCGAGGTGAACAACGGTGACAGGGGGACAGGGAAGGAGGGGGGAGGCGAAAGCGCTCCAGCACAACAGTCACTGATTAAACTACACCAATTCAATTTATAAAAGCCAAACCACCCCGGTGAAGAAGGAAGGGGGAACAAGGAGGTGTGACTGATAATTACGTGAGTCACACACCAAACGTGCACGCCAAGCATTGGCAGAGAAACGAGAGGAATTAGTTAAAGGTGTGATAACTGATAGACTAATTTGCATACGCGTGCACCGGGTAATCATAGCCATTAGGCAAGTTTACGACGGAGGAGTGAAGTATATGGTCGTACATATGAAACTCCGTAGTGATGGATCCGAGTGTGGCATGTAAGGCAGAGTGCTCGGGGACGTCGTAGGAGAGGTGGTTGGTGTTAAAAATTCGCTACCTGGAACAAAAAGTTCCAAGTAACACTGGCTATGGTGAGCCCGTAGTAGGAGAGGTGTTTGTGAGCCCTCGTGACGCTCAAGTTAACAATTGGTGCTGTGTTGTGCTACCACAGAACCTGGTCTTTCGCAGCGACGCCCACGGTACAGTGGGCGTCCCACATCGCACACTCCTTGTACAGTGTGTGGGAGAAATTAATCAAGTTAAAAATAATGGAGCGCCTGTAGAGAACTTAACAAAAGTACAGCGTAGACTTAGCAGAAGTTTTAACTGATAAGCTTGATTTAGTTCCATGACAAGGTTACTAAAACAAGAAAAAGAGGGATGAGATTGTATTTTTCTATATTGTCAAAAAGCACTTGACACCACTTATGTGAAATGCTAACTGGGATAACTGGGAATAATGGAGTAATGTGAAGGACATAAAACAGTGACAACCAAGAGAAAACACAACGGGTGGCGTGATCAAGCTGGAGGACTATAACAGGCGGGGTCCCCCGAGGCTCGCTCCTAGAACCACTGACGTTTGTAACTGAATGATCTACCCGAGGGAGGGGGAGCTCCTCTGCCGATGATGCAAAGCTAATGAACGTAAAAACTGAGGCAGCCTACAGCAGATTACTGGAAGGCGTGACAGCTGGGTGGACAGCGCTTCGGATTCGTAGGCCTGAGGTTCCGGGTTCGATCACTGGTGGAGGCGGAGACAAATGGGTAAAATGTTTCTTTCACCCTAATGCCCTTGTTACCTAACAGTAAATAGGTACCTGAGAGTTAAGATAGCTGCTACGGGCTGCTTCCTGGGAGGGGGTGTAACAAAAAGGAGGCCTGGTTGAGGACCGGGCCGTGGGGACTCTAAGCCCAGAAATCATCTCGATAACCTCAAGATAGGGCCTTGACAAACTCTAAGAATGGGCAAACAAATGGATGTTGGAATTCAATCCCAACAAATGTAAGGGTATGAAGATGGGGGAGGGAGGGAGAGAGAGAGAGAGAGAGAGAGAGAGAGAGAGAGAGAGAGAGAGAGAGAGAGAGAGAGAGAGAGAGAGAGAGAGAGAGAGAGAGAGAGAGACCCGGAGATATCCATACCATAGAGGGAAGGCAATCACAGAAATCATAGAGTAAATAATTTCGAAGTTGATACAAGTTGAGCACGAACACCACTGGCACACACGAACAGGATAACATCACCAATATACTGCAGTAAGCTGGTAAACATGACACCGTTTAGAAGTCTAAATCACAACTCTTTAATTAAGCCAATCTCCACAGCCTTTGTCAGACCAGTACTTAATTATGCAGCGCGGGCTGGAGTCGACTCTTTGTGAAGCATAAAAACCAAGATTTAAAAAGCACAGAAGTTTACAACAAGATTAGTACAGGAACTAAGACGGCGAAGGTATAAGGATAGGCGCCTTTCTCACAACCTTGAGAAAGGAGAAACAGATGGATAAGAAAGAGATCCCTCCCAATAATGAGGGGATTAGATATCCCCTCATAGACAAGGACAGCCTTTATAAATTTTAGCAAATTAGGACCAGAGGACGTAAGTGGAAGCTGGACACGCAAATGAGCGAAAGAAACATAAGGTAATACTCGTACCATGTACTGGTGGCCAACACCAGGAACGCATTCAATGACGACATCACGGAAATCACCTTCATCCAACTTTAAGGCCAGATTAAACTTGGAGTTCGACCGTCAAACGATAACGCAACTGGTATAACAAGGATAGTTGTCTTGTTACGTCATAATCCCGTGTAAAGGGCGGGGGGATTAGACGCGAGTATTATCTCGTTTAAGGGTTTCCCGGATTCTAGGAGCTGTTAGGATGAAGAGTAATCCTGTTGAGTGTTGCTCGAGTTCTCTACTTTTGGTACGAGTCTCAGACTCGGTTGCAACCTGCTCTCGCACAAGACAGCACATATATGACTTATTGTTTAGTCACTATTTCGCATATAAATAAGTATATATGTGACATTCCAAGCCATATTTTTTTTCAAGGCACTAACTTTTTTTCTCAGTTTTATTAAACAATAGAGATTTTATACAAAATGACAATATCCTGAGTTACTTTACAATTTATTTAAATATTTTAGTTTTGTTTTATTATATTTATAAAACTGTAATATCAATATAGGTATAGGTTCAGTACTAATTGTAATATCTTAACATACTAAGAAGGTTAGGTTGTGGTTTTTTATTCAGCTTTTCAAGGTAAACTCAAATATTCACAATAAATTAGTATGTCACATATGCACTTATTCATAAGCAAGATATTGACTATAAGCAAGTGCGAGAACGGGTTGCAGACTCTCATGAAATCTGAACTGATTTAATGAAAAATATACATTACACACACCTTAGTGGAGAATTTGTCACATCTCTAACCTCACAAGGAAATGCTATATTTAGGAAAACATAAAATAAATGATGGGAAGTGCCAGTCACTGCACCAGCAAACAACAAAGGCCCCAAAAAGAATACAATGACAACAACAAAGCAAGCACAGATGAACTAGAGAGAGCAACAGCGACACACAGAATGTGAGATAAACTACTAGTTATGGGGAACCTTAATCCCGGAAAGATTGATTAGGAATCAAGAAATCCCAATGGTGGGGAATAAACGTGTTGGGCAAAAATAACTGGAAGTTATGGACATAAACTTAACACATGTAAAGTATGACTCAAGAGCGAGGGGAGGAGATACTCAAGGCCTACTGGACCTGGTCTTCACCCAGAATGAGGAAGACATGGAGAACTTGGAGCATGACATACTCCAAGAAGCCTGTGATCATCGAGTTCTGGCGTTTGATTATATCCAACTTAAGACAATGACCTTAAGACTTGGGGTTAGGGAAAGTAGACTATAGAAATGGGGTTTGTACATCAGGGTAAGACTGTCTGGAAAACGAGCAATGGAAAGAAGAACTTAGAGGTAAAACGGTCCAGGAAATCATGGAGAAAAATCACACCTTGATGCAGAGAGTCTGGAGAGTGTCGTAACAAGAGCAAGGGAGATCTACAGTAAGTTGAGATTATAACAACTCGTGGCTCAGTAGACAATGTCAAGAAACTGAAACGAAAAGTAGGAGAGAGAGGAAGTAATACAGAAGTCAAAGAACATAAGAAAGCCGAAATAGATGCAGTAGGGTTAGGATCAAATACATTTTGTATGGGAAAGCTACAAAAACTACATCGCTTCCAAAGTAAAAATAAAAAATATCAAATACTACATACTCATATATGAAGGAAATGACAGTGAATGACCAAGTGACAAGATTACAGTAGAGGTGAGCATACAAGAGATGAAAAAGGAAATTTGCCAGGATCTAAATGCAAGTTTCCAAAGAGTATTCACTACTGAACAAAAACTGCTCCCAGTGTAAGCTGTTCATGTAAGGTACTCTAGAAGAATAGCTAACCTTACATGAGACTGACAAATATTGAGACAGCAGCAGAGTAATGAGACAACTAGTCTTACAAGATGAAACTGAAGCTACGGCACCAGACAATGTATCATCAAGGATGATGAGTCGGGTACATGCCCTCTCTATACCTTTAAAATGGTCTCTAATAATTCAATTGCAAAGGGAGAATTGCTCAGCAGCAGAATGAAGGCAAAACTAGTACCAATACACAAGAAAGGATATATAGAGAGAGGAGGCACTTATTTACACCTTAGCATAACCGTCAAGTATCCCCTACAAAGCACTAATAAATAAGGATAAGACTACACACTGAGAGAGAACCAGGCATATAAACAATTAAAATGGATTTAAAGAAGTTGAAATCATATCTAACAAACCTTTCTGGAGTGCCAAAAATACTTAGACACAGTACCACAAAAAAAATTACAATATAAATTTGAGAAGCAGACTAGAGTACATGGTACATGGAAGCGCATTGACAAGGATAAGGGAATACCTAACAGACAGGAGTCAAGAGTGTTACAGCGAGAGGAGAGAAGTCGGACTGACATAGGGTAATAACCACAAAGGATCT